ATAAATAGAATAAAATAGTATTAGTTAAAATAATTCTATACAAGAAAAATGCTATTGATTTACTGAATGTAAAATATTTGTGTTTAATAAACGATAAAATATAATTATGATGAATATTATTATAATTCATCTTTAAAGGAATATAAATAATGAGATTTGGCATTTATTTTTAAATGTATTTTTTCAAGTTTATTTTTTTATTACTCACAAAAACATGTTTAGTATTTTAGTTTTTCAGCTAGAATGATAGAAAAAAACTGAAAAAATTAGAATTAATAATTTAAAGATAATGTTTAAAATTAGATTTGATTGCTTCAATTCATACTAATTATAAAAAATGTTTAAAAATAGAATTAAACTCATTAGGGACTATTTTTTTATCGTTTCCTAGATTTCTTTTATCTAATCTATATAAGTATGAAAATAAAGAAAATGAATAAAATACTCTTTTTAAACTACTAATTTGTTTTAATTATATGTAATTACAATTAAATTAATTGATTTGATATCTCATTTTATGCAAATAATTCAAAATTTTATTCATTTTCATCCCAATTTTATAAAACTAATTCATATCCAATTTATCCTAAATATATCAAAGAATTATTGTAAAAAATGAAATAAGTAGTATTTAGTCTGATTATTTCCATAAAAAAGATAGATTTACAAAAATAGGCAATTTTATGAAGATTATATGTAAATTAATTCAGAAACCAACTAAGAAATCAAGAGATAGTATTCTTTGAGAGATGAATAAACTAATTCTTAGTTATTAAAGATTAAGATTATCTAATGCTTAAATAACAACTTAATTATTTAAAATTTAAGTTAAATTTTGCTAGGATTTGGTTGGTAAATAATAGTAAATAAATTTGCAACTATGATTTTTTTAAATCATTAAAACAACTTTAGAGTATTAGTAATTAATGGAATTTATAATTAAATTCTTCTATAATAATAATAATAATAATGATATGAAAATTTTTCATTGAAATTCAACTGAAATGATCTTTTTCATGCAAAGGATATAGTTTTACTGGCGTAGCTTCCTGATCACTACGAGTATATAAGGTGGAGACCAGCCGACTCCCTTCAACAACCTTCATGCCTATTCTGCATCCTATTCGCTAACGAAAAAATTCTAATATAAATCTGCCCACCGATTCGAAGAATTAAGTAACACTTACTATAAGATCTCTCCGCCAAGTTTGAGACACTATTTCAAAGGATTCTCTAGCGTGGCAATTGCCAAGGTTCCTCCTCTAATAAATGAACAATAAATCGACAGCTTCAGGTTCGAATTTCCTACCATATTTCTTTTGGTTAAAAGGAACATCAGAATTAATCGTAAAGATGAATGGGCACATCCTCTGTGAGGGGGCAGCCCTCAGGGCATCAAAATTGCGCCATGACCTCCTTTATGGAAGAGATCTTCTTTTTTCTTCCCTTCTTCCTGAGAAGAAAAGTAGAAGATAATTTAATTTTTTTAATAATTAATTCTTCTATAAATTATTTAATTTATTTATAAACATAAATACTTTTTGATTAAACTATATCTACATGATTAAAATTTAGGAAAAAACAGAATAAATATATCTGATGAATTAAGATCATCGGGAGACTGCTAAATAAAATACATTATATAAATACCTTCAAACCATAATTGATTACCTTCTTCTAAATCTCTGTTAACTTAATTGTCTAGGATCAAATTTCTTTTTATAAATGAACCCAGTGACCTCTGACACTAATATATGATTTTTATGAAAAATTCATTTAAACTGAATTTTGAATGTGATGAAATTTGGATTAGAGGCATTTAAGATCTAGAATCAGGAAAGCATACAAATTAGACATCATAATTTATCTAACTAACTATTTTTTTTCATCATAAATTGAATGATGAGTATTAATAAGAGAATAAACCGTTTGAATTGATGTACCATGGTTTTCATGTATAATGTTTATTACTAATAACCTTTTTATTTTTTATTTGTTAAAGTAATTTTTTTAATTGTTTAATAGGATTTTTCTGAAGAAAATATTGAAATTAAAGTTTGAGCCACCATAGTTACTTTCTCCTTAAGAATACAAAAGACATATCTAATATTAGTGATAAAATCATAATAGAGTAAGATCTACAAACACCTAATGACTATCTTAAAAACTTAATTAATTAAATAAATTAAATTCAACGGCATAATGAAATTGAATCACACGAATAAAAATTTCTAAAAAATTTAGATAAAAATAAATAAAGTTTGAAATATATATCTTGAAAATCAAGTAGATTTATTTTAAACTAACAATTTTTTTTTAACTTAATATTTCATTTTTATAATAACTCATATGATGAATATTTGTTCTATTTATAATCCCAAAATACTAAATATTATGCATTATCTGTCATAGTTCCAAAAATTTGTTCAATTTCACAATTTAATGATCCTTTAATCTTAAAGTTACCTTCATTTACTTTGCTAATAATATAAATATGATGTTTATGTCTAACTAATATTATATTTTTATCTTTATTATATATAATTGGGAAGAGTCTCCAATCATCTTCACATAATTGATTTGTATTTAATTGAATAGTTTTGTCTTAATTCTATTTGAATAGTCCATTCTCTAATTCAAAAATTAAAATTTAATCAATATTCTTATCTTTTGTCACCCATAGAAATTATTAATCATCCATAAAGTATATTTTTTATCCTTAAGTAACATTTTATTTACATTTTAATTCCCATTTCTCATTTCCTCCTTTCTTCCATATTAAATAACGATATTAAGCACATGATGCCAACATAGTCTCAGATTAATTTATACTTAATGAATAGACAGCTGCAGTATTATCTAAAGAATAAAGATAAGTTAATTCATTCTTTATAAAATCTACATTCCAGATTTTTATTGAATAATCATAACCACCTGAAATGAGTTAATCTTCTTATTTATTTAATATTAAACATGAAACCTAAGCATTATGTTATTAATATGGTTATGACCATTTCCATTTATTGTTATTAATCTATTTCCAACAAATAATTGAATTATCCTAAGAACCAGAAATAAAAGAATTAAGATTTTTGCTATATACTAAACATTAAACATAATCTTAATGCACACTAAATCGATTTTATAATTTTAACCTTCCTTAATTAAAATCCCAAATTATAATATCATAACCATCAATAGATATCATGATTGATCCAGTGTTATTAAACACTATTGAATAACAAAAGCAACTCTATTTATTTGAATCATCAATTAATTTAAATTCAAGATCATATTATTTTAATTAAAGATTATCAATTTGTTATAATAATTCTTGAATTGTATTAATTTATTAAATTAAATGTTATTATTAATTAATAGTTTATAGATTAATTAATAATTATTCACATTTATTTGTTAATTCAAATGATTTAAATTAATTCAATTTATTAATTATCTTTTGATTCCAAGATTAATTAATTGAATTAATTTAAGTAATTAAAGGTTTTTAATCAAATTATTATTAAATTTAAACTTTATTAATTAGATTATCCAATTCTTCAAAGAAACTATAATTAACATTCTATTATCCAATTTATTATAAACATTTGATCCATTCATCTGTATTTCCAATCAATTAATCTAATTATTATATTATATATGATTTTAATTAATGTAATGTTTTCTAAATTTCATCAATCTATTTGATATTCTTTATAATAATATATTCAACTTATTCAACCTTTTTCTTTTAATTATCTTCAATTAATAAAGCAACCTTTTTAAAACTCATTACATTATTTAGATTAGATTCTAAATTATCCATACATTCATTGCATAATAGTCTTTTATTCTTATCTATACTTTTATCACAAACAACCATATAAATTGGAAGTTTATGATTCATTGAACAAACAAGTTCTTCTTCTTTTTCTATCATTTTTTATCGTATCATTTTTAAATAAATATTTATATTTATTATTAATATAATTATTTATCTCAGTGATTTAATACTATTAAATTATTTTGAAATTATATTCAAGAAAGATCATAATTTTTAGTTCAAACTTAAAAAATGAGGATTAGAACTATTTAAATACCAATCATGTTTTTTTACTTCATTCTAAAATATTTAATTGTATTGGACTCATTAATTCTAACTCAATTATTATTTTTTGGACTGGCTTTTTTTCCTTCCTTATCTCTTAAATAGCTTATAAGATTAATGAATTATTTGTTTATGTTGAGTCAAATCCTTCATTTACTAAATATGCCAATTATTTTTTTTTTTATCAGA